TCTAGTTGCCTTAACACACTGTTTTTAGCATGACTACTTGAAAGAATGTATCTTATTTTCTCATGCTGAGGAGAATGTGCCTAGAAGAAAAAAGTACTTCCTTCTTCTAGGCACAGTGTTCAGCCAGCTTTTCTCACAGGTTTACATGCAATATGTGACAAAATAGAAATATTATTACTAAAACAGTTGACTTATTTGTTGCAAAATATTTGAAATGAATTGCATGAAATTGTTTACTGTTACTTAGAAATAGAAAACAATTTCATGCAATTTATGTATATTGTTTTCCAAAATGTACAGAATTCTACCTTGGAAACCAGATTGTCAGTATATTTCAGTCACAAACATCTAACGTTGCCAGTTGGTTTAGATGAAAAAGCTAAGAGCAAATACAAATGCTTAAAAGTCAATAATGAAAAGTTACATTAAAAAGAACATGTTCCCTTTAACAAGTTAGAGAAGCTTAATTTAAAAATGTAAAAATAATTTTAAACAAGACCTAATATTCCATATTTTATGGTATTGGGTTAAGGATATGTATCATTTGGTTAATACAGATATGTATAGATTAAAAACAAATGTTTCTGAAATCACATCCCAACCACTGGGCTATTTAAGTAGTAGAAGGAAAGAAAGATGATTCAAACCTAGAAGCTTTAGGTCAGGTAGTACAAACTATCCAGAATCAATGACTATGTTAGGCTTTTTAATTATTAACCATTTTTAAATTGCTACATGAACATCATTATTATATACCACATCTAATTATTTTGTGTAAGAATCCCTGTGTGATTTTAAAGAATACATTTAACAAAATATTCAATATGGCAATCCACTTAAAATATGTGAGGCACTCAACTCTTGTAAAATTTTCATGTAGTTATTAAAAGTATGCTTCACACTTAACTTTAATTTGATAATAAAGCAGAATGAAGCAATTCAAAACAGAATTATCATTTGCATTCTTTTTTTCACAGTATTGAACTTATATAACCATACAGTAAGAATGAATGGTATATTCCATAAACAAGGAGTTTTCATTCATATATAGTAATCACGTTTCTGGTTCTTTAAAAGGGCCTCTCCTGCCAGGAGGAGATTTTGCAGAAAATCAAATCCCACTTTGGATCTTTAAAGTTAAATGCCAGCAGATAATTTGCAACCATTGCAGATCTGGCAGTACAATACAGATCTCCCCTAATTTTTTTTTTAATTTGTGATATTTGAAAGTCTCTGAAGTACATACAATGGAGGAATGGTTGGTTAAGATAGTAGAATTTGCAGAGATGTCAAAAATGACTTGTTTGATTGGGGAAAAGACAATAACTACCTTTATTAGTGAGTGGAAACCTTTATTGACTTTTTGCTGAAAACAAAAAAATAAAAGGATGATTTATGAGTTTGATGATTAAAAAGACTAGAATATGAAAGAAGGGAGACGTATATTTAAAGAGAGGATAAAAAAGATGCATTTACAATTGCTTTAAAGTAAATCAGAAGTTGCGCCTTTGTATCTTTCTTACTTTTACTTTCTTTTCCTTTTTTCTTATTTATCACTTTCATTTGTTTTCCCTTTTTTAATCCTGCCTTTATTATTTTCAAATAATGCAAGATAGCAAAGATACATAATATTTATTATCTCCTATTTTTCCCTATAACAATAACCCTGAGAAGTGTCTTAGGCTGAGAGAGTGATTGGCTTTCATGCCTAAGGTGGGAATAGAGTTCACAGTCTTCTGATTTTTAAGCCAACATCTTAACCACTGCACCAAACTGGCTCTCAAATTTGCATTGCTTTTGTTCTGTAAAAAAAAAAAATCTATAATAAAAGTTACTTTGTGATATTTAATTATTGCTTTGATTTCTTTCAAATGTTTGGGAATAGTTATACCAAGGAAATTTTCTTCATTTGTAAATGTAATACAGGTAGTCTTTGACTTACAACACTTCATTTAGTGCAGTGTTTCTCAAACTTGGCAACTTGAAGATGGATGGACTTCAACTCCCAGAATTCCCTAGCCAGCATAGTACACATCTATAGCTGGTTGGGAATTCTGGGAGTTGAAGTCCACCCATCTTCTAGTTGTCAAGGTTGAGAAACATTGATTTAGTGACTGTTCAAAGTTACAACAGCATTGAAAACATGACTTATGACCATTTTTCACACTTCCGACTGTTGCAGTATCCCCATAGTCACATGATCAACATTCAGACACTTGGCAACTGACTCATATTTATGATGGTTGCAGTGTCCTGGGATCTTGGGATCACCTTTGTAACCTGTTAATGGGGAAGCCAGATTCACTTGACAACTATATTACTAATTTAACAACAGGATTCACTTAACAACTGTGGCAAGAAAGGTCGTAAAATGAGGCCAAATTCACTTAACATCTGTCCTACTTAGCAATAGAAATTTTGGGCTCCATTATGATCGTAATTTGAGGACTGCCTGTATATCTTTTCAAAGCTGAATAATTGACATAATTAGATGATTAAAAATACATTGAGCTTTTGTGGAGAAATAAATATTGTAAATTGATTATTTCAAGAATGATATATAGGTATTCCTATGTTAATAACTTTGTATTATTTCAAGCAGATAAGGTACTGATTTTTTTTTAATAAGAAAGACAAGCCCCTAGATTTTCTTTAGCTAAATCACAGCTGTCACATGATGCTGAGGCGAGCATTATCTTTCAAAGTTCAGTTTAATTTTTGGATATATATTTTTATATATCATTTATATATCAATCTAAGGGTCAAGTAAAAAAATAATTATGGGCACGGTTACTATGTGGCCCATTTGATATGGTTTGGCTCTATTTTTAGCCTTAACTCCATTGCATTTTCTTGCATTGAAGATTGCAAGATATATTTGAAGACGCCAGGATGGAAATATAATTTCAATACTCATTCACATGATAAATTTACCCTCTTGCATAGTCCTATATTTGGGGTGGAATGAAATCATGAGAAATTAGAGATACTGATACTGTGGATTACTTTATTGCCAATAAATTTGAAACATCTAAAATTGTGAAATAGCAGTATATTTAGTTAAGAGTTTTCTTGATTTCACACTTTGGCCCAGATGAAGTGACTAAAACTCCTGAGTAAATAATCAGTATTGGAATTATCTTGAAGAGTTCAAAGTCTACAATATTTTTATAAACAATTGAAGAGTACCACTAAACTGGATATTAATTATTTGCAGGAACTTTGAATTAAAAAGTCAGAATAACTCACATTAATAAATCAACTGCCATGGGTCATTAATAATTATCATTTTTAATTTTAATAATAATTAATTGAGCCTTAATAATAAAAGAACATTGATGTGTTTCTTACAATCTTAACGTAAGACTGAACCAACATGATTCAGCAAAAGATTCTAATTTATATTTAGCTAAACATAATCCCTTATGTAATAATTATGTTGGAAAATAAACAGATGAGACAGTAGTCGAATTATTTAGAACTGTGCTACTCAGGGCTTTTTTTGTCATAGAACACACGGAGCGACATTCCAGCACCTTTTTTTGAATGGAAGAACCAGTTCCTTCTAAGCTGCCAGCGGAAGTACTGGTATGGCTGCAGAGCGATTTTGCGGCCCCCCCAGCAGCCCGATCCGGGCACCGGAGGCCTTTTCCAGGCCTCTGGAGCCCAGATCGGGCTGCTGGGGGGGCACAAAATCGCTCTGCGGTCATTGATCTGGGCTCCGGAGGCGGCTTGCAAAAGGCCTCCAGAGCCCGGATCGGGCTGCTGGGAGGCCGTAAAATTGCTCCCTAAAGTGGTTTCTTCTCTCCCCCACCCCCCACTCCGTAAAGGGCTTTCGACTAGAGCCGGAGCTGTCTGTGAGTTCCAGCACCTTTTTTTTTTTTTTTTTTTTACAAAAAAAGCACTGGTGCTACTACTACTCAGTTTTTATTTAATATCTTTAAGTTTGTTAATGTAGTGTTAAAAAGTGCAATATTGTTTAAAGATGTGAATATCAGTTTTAAATCGATAACCAAGAATATGGTATCTAACGTTATAAAATGAATTACAGATTTATCCGGTTTGGACAGTAATAAAATAGATGTTAGTTCAATGGTAGAAATACAGAGTAACTCCAGATTTACAATTAGAGATCACCAGTATTGTCTTTACTTTCTATATATGAGCTGGCTATCAAATTCATTAAGAAAGATTGATAAATATGCTCAACGTTTACTAATGTATTTAAAAATTAGATCAGTTAATTTTATTTCTGTAATACAAAAAGTTCTTGCTTTTTTCTTCGTCTTTTTTTCCCTTTGGTATATTAAAGGAATAAAAATAAACTTTAAAAATAGTACTAATTTCAAATATTGCAGTGCAAAACCATTGGTTCTATATTCTTTATTTTTCATAATGCAAATTATTTGCTGCAAAAGTTTTCAAGTGAAGCTAATAGTTTTTTACAAAGATGTGTGTGTGTGTGTGTGTTTGTATGTATAGCAAAGCCGTATGAAGTATTTAAAAAATATCATTACTACTATTTTTTAAAAAAGGAATATATACTACTTTTCTTAATGGTTTCCATTACCAAATCTTGAAATGCTAATTTAGTTCACATGTTATTTCTGGAAGGGATGTATCCTAGGAATAAATAAAATTGTCTTTAACTGAATCATCTATAGTTTATAATGTTTGAATGTGGTTTAACAAACCTGATTTTGCATTATATGATAATTAGGCCAGTGAGATCTTTGTACTTTTCATCATTACATAAGCAATCATTTCAGAAGAGATGATCATCAAAATAAAATGTTTCTGCTACTAAGAGAAAATAGTTAATATATAAGCAATTTCACATTATGTAAAAATAGACTTCTTAGGAGTATCGTGTAAGTTAAAATATGATTATTTCTTAAGAAGAATAAGGCAAAGAATAAGGTTTTAAACCTATCAGTATTTGTTTATTAAAATATATCTATGTAGTGTTGTGTGATAATGAACCTTGTGTCTTATTTCAGAGAGATTCCCCCTCTACATCCAGACAGTCCCCAGCTAATGGCCATAGCAGCATTAACAATTCTATTTCGGTAAGACCTCCAATTCCAGACAGAGAGCATTACAGTTTTGTTGGTGCTTATGTACCATTCTTTTTATATGTTCAATGGAAAATTGTGTTCTATTAATAAAATGAAGAATACTTAGAATTCCCTATTTTCTCTCATTCAAGTGTTTATTCAGTAATATAATTTTCTGATCAAAATCCCTTTAATGAGTTGCATTCAACCATCAGGTAAATATTTTAATCATCTTGAAATATGCTTCTTGTGATTCTCATCCTGATTAGCTCAAAGTTAAGCAAAAAGAATAATTTCCATTTTGAACTTTAATGTTGTGTTTTTAAGCAAAACATTAGTAAAGCAGATATTTGAGGCTTTCAAGACCTAGGCATCATCATCATTATTACTATTGTTATTATTAAAGTTCTCTAGATTACCACATTGGTTTCCGCTATCTGAGTTAACGAATTGGTGTGTCCCCTGCTATTGTGGTACGTGCACATATTTTGTGAAATATGAGCCTTGCCTGGATATGAAAAGCAAAAGAAACTGTCTTTAAACTGCATTTATAAGCTGAGCTATTAACATCACATCTTTAACACAAAGTGCTGTTCTTTTTACCATATGTTCAGGCAAAAAGATATTAGTAAACATTGTTGATATTGCTGCTGTTTACTTTTTCTCTTTCTGTGAACACACATGGTAAAATGTTAAAACGTATCTGTAGAAAAATGTTGCCTCAAAAATATTCTTTGTATTTCTGCTGTCAACACTTAACTAAACATTTGAAGAACTTCTGGAGAAGTTCAAAAACTGTTAAAAATATTGCAATTACATTTTGATAAAAAAAAAACCTGGTTAAATACTAAAATGGATACAATTAGAAATATATTTTAGTCATGTAAACTTATGTAATACCATTAAAATAAGATTTTTAATAAATATATTAACTTCAATTTGTAATTACAATGTTGATCAATATGAATGCCTCATCAGTTTGAATATTAAAATTACTTTCCTTTGTTTAAGGAATTTTTGTGTTGAAGATGATGAATTACTTATTAAAAGCACACTTTCTGTCTGCTTAAATTTTATCTGCTTCGGCTTGCTGCTAAACAATCTGGGTTTGACATTTTCTGAACATGATTATTGTTAATACTTCTAAAATAGCTTTGACATTAAAACTGTTACCTATTTTCAAAGTAAGATGAAAAATTATTATTCCTGGGTTGACTTTATTCTGCAGGACTTGCCATCAACAACACAACCAAAAGGACGACAGGTGAATAGCTATTCTCTATGAAGACTTTCATAACTTAGTTGCTTCATGCCATTTTCTCCTTACCATCTCAATTTTTTATCCCATTATGTGCTGATTTAGATTTTACAGCTTTTATCATTTTGTGTTTTATTCATATGGCTGATCAACAGACACACTATTTATCATGTGGTACTCCTATGATACTAATTTGTTTTTTTCTTACTAACAGCTTCTCCATTCACTTTCATGTTATCTATCAGCATCAGCATTCTCATCAGATTTCATTTCATTTCATTTGATTTTGTGATTTTGATTTGCTATTTTGTCATGTTATTCCTATTCATTAGATCTTATCCAAGAATCATGTATTGTGGGTATATTTGTCTTAATAAATCTATACTAATTGTCGCTTTTCAGTAGCTTTATTGTCCTGATGAGAGCAGGATAGCTCTTCAAATAGGATCATAAACAATGAATTCTGACATTGTAATTTATGATCCAACTGAAAATGCAAATGATGTATAATTAAATGTAATTTAATTAATACATTAGCACATTAATACCTATTAATGTATTTAAATTTAATTAATTACAGGAAAGCCTTTTTTAAATGGAAGAATTGTGGGGATTCTCTTTTAGCACTTTTGCTATTGAAAATTACTTTCACATAAACGCATACAGTAGTTGGGGAAATACATATTTGGTTTTTATTTCTTGCAGAATTAAAAACAAGTAGGGAGGCACTTCCGGCTGCCACCCTTTATTTATTATTGGATCCCCTTTTTAAAATTAGTTTTTTGTTTTAATGAAACAGAAGCAAAATGATGAACACTTCTCCCAGCTTAGCGTCAGACTCCTACAATCCTGCACTTGCTTTTTGCAAGCAAAACATCACCCTTAATTGTTCATATGAACATAATTCTTATGGAATTAGTGCACAAATTATTCTATAAATCTTTAATTGTAGTTTTTCTGTTATACCTCTATTTTGGTTAATATTTCTCATTTTTATAAATGAGCCACTGAAGTGAAACAGTAATGTGACCAATAAAATGTGTAGTTTTAAATATTCATATTTAGCATTATGTTCCCAAAAAACTGCAGTGTAATTGCTAATCTAAGTAATTTTTGGATCTTGGTTTATTAATATGTGTGAAATTGTCCATTTTTTTTTTAATTTAGTGTGGAAGTGTGTGAGATTCATTAGTGCACGAATAGAAATTAGCTCAGGCAACAGATCTCTCTGCTTCTTTCTCCCTGCATTTCTCCCCAAAAGCTTCACCTAGATTATTGTGAAAACTTCTCAAAAATTGCAGCTTCTGTTTTATAGATCTATAACTGGAGAAGAGAGGATTTTCCTGAAATGTGACAGAATATATATATATATTCAACTATAGCCACACATTTCTCTAAAATCAAATCTTCTGCAATTCTATTTTAAAGGCTGCTTATAAAAAAAACTAAAGGAAAACAAATCTATATATGCAAGCTATTACATCTAAAGTTGACATATATTAACATTATAGTTTCTGTCTCTAATATTGTTTTTTAGATATATGTAAGAGCACAATTTGAATATGATCCAGCAAAGGATGATCTTATTCCCTGCAAGGAAGCTGGCATCAGATTTAGAGTTGGCGATATTATCCAGATTATTAGCAAAGATGATCACAATTGGTGGCAGGGTAAACTCGAGAATTCAAAAAATGGAACTGCAGGCCTCATTCCTTCTCCTGAGCTTCAGGAATGGTATGTTGTTTGGTAATTGGTAAACATGAATGTAGTTTCCTTTAATTTTTAACAATTGAATTTGTCAGTATTTCATATTTTAAATATTTGCGTCATTGGTTGATAAAAAGAATGCTTGAATTAGGTAACTTGACTGGTTAGACTATTACTGAAAATACATGCACATAGTTGCCATATAAATTGTATAAAGTAAATATGAACTATTCATTGGATCAGAGGTCCCCAACTTTTTGGGCACCAAGGACCGGTTCTGTGGAGAGAGGTTTTTCTGCGGCCCGGAGGGTGCATGATTTAGTGTGCTGCCTGCATCCCGCAGATGTGGCTTTGCTTGTTTGTGCGGCCCGGTTGCTGGCATGCCACAGCCTGGTACTGGTCCACGAATCAGGGGTTGGGTACCCCTGCATTAGATCACTTGCTATAGAAATTTAGCTGGCAGTTTTCCTAAGTAAAAAATCATATTCCTTCAGCCTCTGATAAGAGGAGGTAGAGATGGATATTTGAAAACTTCTGTGTAAATAAAGAAAAAAATTATCAGCCTTATCAAAAGTTACAATTTGTTGCAATTTTGAACAGTTGCTAAACAAGTGGTCATTAAACAAGGATTGCCTGTATATGACATTGTATCTGCAAGCACACTAACTTCTTTCAGTTTAACTATTACTCCTGAAACAGTTTCAGACTCACAGAATACACTGACAATACCCATCGAATATCTCTCCTAATCCTATTATGTTGGTGAATTTTTATTTCCATTGTTTTTCACTCATGTCTTTACATATAACATAAAACAGGATAAAAATGATTGAAATAAATGTGACAAGAGAATATTTCTGCCTGGATACTATCATAGTAAAAACAGCCAGCTCACAATAGTTGAAAAATATTTTTCTTTCCCCAAGTTGATTTGTTAAGTAGAGTATAAAAGATTACAGATGGTTTAGAAAAGTGTTAAACTATTCCAGATAACAATTTATTTTCTATGCAAAAAGTTTCATCAGATGGCATTTGTTTCATTGCAATCACTATCATTATAATGGACTTCAAAAAAGTTACGTTGCTTTTAATTTGGCCTGAAATATACAGTTCTTGTATTTTAGTTTCTTTTCTTAATACTTCAGAATCCTTAGCAATATACTATACTGACATGTAGTGTCTTATAGAGGTCAGTGAAGAGAGTGCTGCCACAGTACTAATAACTAAAGTCATTTTTAGATTTTGTTCTCTGCAGAAACTCCCTTACTACTTGACAACCTGAAATGAATCCACTAACTCTAAAGAGGCAATAAACTGTCTCATCAGTTAATTTCTGTATTTTGTTTATGTATTCTTTTTTCTGAGTATTGAGTGTCTCCCCTCATTTTATCCTCACACCAATAATCTCATGCCTCAATGATTGAGATAGCCCAATGGGTTTATTTGGGTAATACTTATATTATGCTAGCCCACCTAGCAATTCAAAAAATATGCAGATGCGAGTAAATAAATAGATAATATTTTGGTGGGAAGGTAACAAATGCTCTGCATTGCGGTGTGATGTCAGGCTGGCCACATGACCACAGAAACATATTTGGACAACACTGGCTCCCTCAGCTAAGAAACAGAGATGAGTATTGCCCCTTAGAGTTGGACACAACTGGACAGGGGAAATTTTTACCTTTAGCTATATTACACTATATTACACCTAATGAGAAGGAAGGACTCACTGGAGAAGAGCCTAATGCTGGGAAAGATTGAGGGCAATAGAAGAAGGGGACAACAGAGAATGAGGTGGCTGGATGGAGTCACTGAAGCAGTAGGCGTGAGCTTAAATGGACTCCAGAAGATGGTAGAGGACAGGAAGGCCTGGAGGAACGTTGTCCATGGGGTCGCAATGGGTCGGACACGACTTCACAACCAACAACAACAAATATTACACTGATCTTAAACCACTTCTAGGTCATAACTGCTTGGTTTCAAAAGAACTACATTATACAATATAAATCACTCTGGATCTTGATTCTATTTTGGTAGCCTGTTTCTATAATGGCTGGGGATTTCTGACTTTAGCTATTAAAAGTAGTTTCATGGTAACACAGTTGATAATTTAGTCTGCCAAGAAGTCCATTAGAATATTAGTGGAAGCGATGAATGTACACAAATTCAGTTACCTCCCTGGTCTCTGATTTAGGAAAGTATACCCTGGTTATTTGTAAAAGCAAACATATCTACTGTGTAGATATATTTCTTGAATTTAATTTGATCAGTACCTGATGATGCCAGGTCCTTATATTGAGAGAATGTGTGTGTGAATATTGTCACAGGAGTTTTCTCATTGTATCTATGTTTTTGGCCATGACACCAGAAAAAAATTGAAAACTAGTGAACATTCCACTATAACCTGTCCTCTTAGATGACTAAAAAGGAGGAACTATTATAATGCTATTGCTTATCCTGCAAAGTTCTCAACCACTGCAGCTAATTTTATAGTCTCCTGAGTGGCTGCTACACAAGTAAAGAAGGGCTCTGTACTTTTAGAATACTCATTTAAGATTTCCATTTGAAACCTTGAAAATATTTTAATCTGTCTACCAGTAAAAAGAGGGAGGGGATATAATTTTCTGAATTAATAATATTAAAATAGGCCACCTTAAATATACAGCTGATAGTTGTTTCCTATTCACTTGCAAGGCGAGTAGCTTGTATTGCTATGGAGAAGACTAAACAAGAGCAGCAGGCAAGCTGTACTTGGTTTGGAAAGAAAAAGAAGCAGTACAAAGACAAATATTTAGCAAAGCACAATGCAGGTGAGAAAAATACAAATCTATCTCAGATGTTCTTAAAATTGCTGCACTATTAGCTTCTTAAACATTAATGTTAATTTCTGAGTGACACATTTAGTTAAAAAAAAAATCAATGTGTTCAAACACATTAGCCAAAAAAGGAAATGTAATTATTAGCTAAATTTAGTTAGTTATTTACATTTACCCTTGGGGCAAAATCAGTATTTTGGGGGAAAAAAATAGATGATAGGTAATATAAGATTTTGTGCATGAATATGTTTGCAACTTGAATATGCATTAAAGGTCATTATTAATAATTATGCAGATGAATTAAAGAATCATTAATTTTACTATTTTATTTAATTCCTTGAGAGTTTGAGCATATTCTGATATAATTGAAATATAAATGAAACTATACATATTCTAAACCTATTCTGTATTATTTGGATTTGGATTATTTTTAATTAATAAACCAAAAAATGACAACCATGTTAGATAGCACTCCTTTTGAAGTTTATTTCTGTAAATAAACTGAACTGCTACTAAATTAAATGTGTAACTGGAGATTTAAATAATACTGTTTGTATATGCTAAATGTTCTTAATTGTATTAATTGTATATATTTTTTTATTCCTTGAAAATTGCAGAATGTTTTGCAAAATGTTTTTCTTTTCCTCCAGATTGATTATTTATTTATTTAATTCATCACATTTCTATACTGCCCATCTCATCTAAGTAACTCTGGGTGGTTTACAGTACAAACATGTCACAAAATTTAAAAGCATTAATAAAAGCAAAGATAAAAAAGAAAATTAAAACATAGGGTTATATAGTATGAAAAATTAAAAAGTGGAAAGAACACCCTCACAACACCAATCATCCTGAGGGTTGCCTAACACTCTTCAACCCCCATGCCAATTGGCAGAGCCAAGTCTTAACACTCTTTCTGAAGATCAGAAGAATGGGGGTCCACCTCACCTCTGAGGGTAAGGTGTTCCAAAGGACAGGGGCAATGGAAGAGAAGGCTCTCTTCTTGGATCCTGCTAAATGAAATTTTTTAACCGATGTAATCTGCAACATACCCTCCCTGCCTGATCCGATGAGACATGACAATATAACAGTTCCTCAGGTAACCTGTTCCCATACTATTTTGGAAGCAAAATGGCACCCAATGCAGCTTGTGTAACAGAGATATGTGCAACCCTAGAGGCACCCAGTCTTGCTCACATTATCACATTCTGCACCAGATACTCTTCAAGAATAGCCTTAAGTAAAGTGCATTGCAGTAGCCTATGACCAAGGTATGAGTGACTGCAGGACTTTTAAATCCAGGAAAGGGTTAGGGTTAGGTTTAAGTTGAGCAAAGGTCTTACTGCTTCTAGACCAGGAGTCTTGTGTCCAGGAGGACCCCCAGATTACCCACTGGTCCATCTGTTACAATTCAATTTCATCCAGGACCAAAGATGCTAAACCCCCAGCCTTCTACCCATAGCCACTCAGACTTATCAGGATTCAATTGAAGCCTGTTGTTTCCCATCAGCCTCCAAGCACCATAAAAGGGTGTCCACAATATCAGTTAATGATACCTCATCCCACATAATGGATTATCTCACCCAGCAGTTTCATGTAGATGTTAAAAGGTAGCAGAAGGAACACCAAGCCATGCGATACTTTTCAAACAGTGGCTGCAGGCTAGACTTCTCGCTCCCTATAACTCTCCAACGGATTGGGACCAGTTTCAGAGAAGGTGAACCAGCAGAGAACTGTGTCCCCCCATCTCCAGCTCCTTAACGTAGCCCCAAAAGATACCATGGTCACTGGTATCAAAAGCTACCAGAAGGTCAACAAGAGCCAGGATGGATTCACGAACCCTATCCCTCTCTTGCCATCCAAAAGTGCAAACAATGCTATTTCAGTCCCATATCAAAGCCTGAAACATAAGTAGAAGTGGTCCACATAATCTGTTTTATCCAGGATCCTCTGGACCTGCAGTGTGACTACTTTCTCCATCACTTTTACTAAGAAGGAGAGATGAGAGGCTGGATTAAAGTTATCCAGAACGGTACGGTCCAGTGATAGCTTCTTGAGATGAGGACACATCAGTACTTCTTTAAATGGTGCCAGGAATACCCCCTCACTGAAGGATGCATTCATTATCACTAAGACCCACCTATATATCACCTCCCAGGTGGCTTCATACAGCCAAGAGGAACATGTATCTAAATCAGGGGTGGTCACAGTTAACAATTCCGAGGCCCCTGCCCACTTTCTTAGGTCCAACAGAATCAAACTGTTCTTCAATAACTGGATAAGAACATTCCCCAGGCAACTCCAATGGACTTGCATCATGCTTGATCTCTCAACTGAGAATAGATCCGTGCAATTTCATTTGCCAGATGCATTGAAAATTCCTCACCATGGTCCTGAAGGTGAACCTCAGAGTCCCTTTTACCCAAAAGGAAATATATGACCCTAAACAAGTCTGCTAGGTAGCACTTTGCAGATGCAATAAGAGCAGAGATATAGTGACGTTTTGCTGCTCTTTTGCCATGACGGAGGCTCTAACTTGTGATCAATCACATTCACTCTGTCCTCCTTCAACAGAGCTCTAAATAAATGCCTCTTGAACTTTTCAACTCTTCTGTAAACCAGAGGGAATGCCAGGCTCACTGCCCAAGGCCTTCACTATTCCCAGTAGCAGCCAAGCCTTGGCAGGAAGAACCTCAGGAACAACCCCCAACTCCATTTGAAATCTCACCAGGTCCCTCAGTTGCTGGAGGCAGAACCAATCAAATAGGTCGTGCCTCCTTGCAGAAGGGGGTAGGCATAGGAAAATCTCAATGTCATCTGGGCATAATCCGACCATGACAGGATGGACAAGGAAAATTCCACTCTCCGATCACATTACTACTGATCCAACAAAAAACATGTCCAGTGTTCCAAGTCAGGTTGGGCTGATGGTGGCCATGAAATTCTGAGCTGCTTCTGAGGGGATCTTCAAGGATGGTAAATTGAAGTCCCCTAAGACCATAAACCTTGAGAGCTCCACTGCCAACCCTGAAATGACAGGCAGGGAGGTTGCTACAATGCAGGGAGGCTGGTACAGCAGCAACAGTCCTAGCTGATCATGTGAGTCTATCTTCAGAAACAGGGTCTCACAACCAGCAACTTGTGGGGGTCTCACAACCAGCAACGTGTGGAACACACCAACAGACTCTCGAATGACAACTGCTGCCTCCATCTCCCCTGCCCAGGAATCTTGGCTTGTGCCACACCTGAAATCCCACCAGGCACATTTCATAAAAGGGAACCACACCTGGCCCTGTCAGATCTTGATAATCCAGGTCATCTTGCTCCTCCTTGATAAGGTCACAAATAAGGGGAGCTTTATTATTGACTGATCTGGCATTAAGCAGCAGCAGCTGAAATCCTGGATCTTTGTAGGTCTGTTGACCAGGGTCTGGGCCTAAGCAAAGAGGACCAGAATGCACCACTGGTACCAAACTCCAGGGGCATCTTCCCCAGTAACAACCCCTCTGCCTCTCATCAAAATGCCTCATGCCCATCACCATCTGAATGTACTGTTCTGTCCTAGACCCCCAGATATACATTCCCCCCCCCAACTCTGGCCTGGTTCCCCTGGCTCAGGATCTCTCCATCCATTCATATGATCCAACCACCCTCCGATTGATCCAGGGATAGAGGCGAATACCCACAGTACTTTAGCTTTCACTCTTAATACTGCCCGGAGCCTTAGGCCATTAAGCCAACTCCCATCCAATTGTATCACCCTAGCCAGCCTCTCCCACTAACTGGCAAGATGGTGCTCCAATCACTTTTCCCTGCTTCCCAGATATCACTCAAGAAAGTGGGTAACAAACTCATACATACACACACACACACACACACACATTCACTCCCAGGTCTAATGCACCCCCAGAGTACTTTCAGACCCACATGGGGGTCCCTATTGAATCAGTCTCCAAGGGGGTATGTTTGGGCCCACTGGGCATTTGCAGCTTTTGCTACTGGCCACAGTGGTACCTGCCACTTGCTGCCCACGTGGTATCTCCATCTATATGGATAGTTTTTAAAAAGATGCAATAACAAATATGGTTGGAAAGATGTGTTCATTTATTTCTGGAAGGGAAAGAAGAATCAGAAGTGTTTACTTTCTGGAATGTTCTAAATTTGCCAGAAGAAACATAAACTTTTGAGATTTCTAATTTTCTTTACCAGACAAAAAGTCATGAGGCCTACATGGTAAAAATGAAAGGTGGAAAGTATCAGAAGACTTGCAAATATATTTTATTTAAATTCCATCCATGAAGACCTTATCACTTTAAATCAAATCAGGGTGGTTTTTTTTCACTTTTTTGTCTGATGAAGAGAACTGGACATATCAAAAGTTTGCAGATTTTGTGATTTATTTTTTTTTGTGAAGTACTTGAACAGTTGGAAAACAGAAACGCAGGTATTGTTACACGAAAAGTATTAATTAATTTATATTAGAAAAGCTGTGTCAGAGTTCTATTCAAATATATATGTATTAAAATGTAAGCATGGTAAGCAATATAGATCATTTTCCTCACCTTATATTTGCTTATAGAGTAATATCAATTACTTTGTCTATTTTATTTTTTGATACTGTGTGTACAGTTGAAGGCATTGTATTATTAATATAAATGGTGACTTCAGCAAAGATGAAGGCCACAGCTGCTCTCTAGTTACTCACCTGTTAAGAGATAATTAATAGCAGTGATAAAGGGAAAATATTTTGCCTAGGTCCCCACAAAAAAAAATTTTAGGCAATATTTTGAATCAATATTCTTCATTTTTGCCATTCTTCCTCGTGTATTTCCATGCTGTGGCTTTTCCCACCTTTTAATATGTTTTTGTTCTGAATCACTCCTTATTCCAAGTTGCTCATCTGCATTCTTCCCAGGGCTATGTATATTTGTTTCCTAGGATTTTTGTTCCTTTTAAAAATATTAAAGTTTTGAATAGCAAATTTTATTAAAGTT